CCTCTCTAGACTTGGACATTTTATTTAAAATGACAAAATGAGCACTGTAACAATTGGCTCTATCTCACACCCTGACTTTGGGAGGATGTACCTGTGGCACGAGTCAACCGTGGGAGTATCTGTGGCATGAGTCAACTATGGGAGACTACAGTTCTCTCACATTCCCATCTGCTGTACTCAGAACTAATCATTTCCCTAAAGACCTGCAACCATCCTAACAAGCATCTCTCTGAAGGAATCATTAGAACAACATATTCTGAAGTGAGTGTAATACCTACATCTACAAACAAACAACAAGATTACTACAATGTGCACCATCAATCCCAGGGGTGTCAAACTCTATTTCTTTGAGGACCTCATCAGGGTTGTGTTTGATGTCGGGGACCAGGGTGGGCATGGCCAGGGTGGGTGTGGCCACAGCTCGATGTCACTCGTGTTGGGGGCACATGTGGTGGTCCAAGTGCTCTGCCAGTGAAAACGGCCTCCTGCAACCCTCTGCCAGTGAAAATGGAACTTGGGAGGGCCGTGTGCGGGAGAGGCACGGTGGGCCAGTCATTCAATGTTTCCAGGGCAGCCCTGTGAACCAATTCTAAGCACCCCGCGAGCCTTGAGTTTGACATCTCTGATCTATCCAAATCACACATATAGTTACAGCAAGTGGCAAAGTGTTCCAAGCAGTAGGAAATATAGTTCCTTCAGCCCAAGTCATCAGCAATTACACCATAAACGTAGCAGTTATTCTGATATGAATTAGATATGTGTTTATGGAGAAGAAAGATTCTAGTTGGCATGTCAGTTATAGATGTTTTCAATTTCTATATTTCTATTACAACTAGGAGGAGAACTAATAATCTGATACCAAAGCAATGTCACTAAGCAGGAGAATTTAGAGTATAAGCATTACAGAGTCTAAAGAACCTTTTCTTTTATGGATCTATATAGAACTGTATTCTAGGAAGTTTGTGCATTGATTTAAGAGAAGGAAGCTTTCATACAGAAAAAAATAATAGGGAAAAAAAAGAATTTTAATGCTAGGACAAATGCCTGAATGGTGTTGTGATCTAGGCTTACTGACTCATTACAAGACACAATTAGTCCCAAACAAACCTATTTTATTGTAACAGCTGAGAATTACATTCATTCCCAGATGAGTCCCAATTAGTTGCAAAACAAGTCCTTCGGAAAAAGTCCTTCGGGATAATAACCAACCTTTATCTTTTTTGACACCCTACCAAAGGCCTTACTTGGCAAAGCCCTACAAAGTTCAGAAATAAACAAGAGATGCTGACTGGAAACAGAGTTAGCAACATTGCTTTCCTGCAAAAAGGCCCAAGTGCCTTTATTTCTCTTTAAGCTTTATGGGAGGGGCCAATCATCTCCTGGCCTTACTACCGAGTTGTTCCTTTTGCTTTAGCTGTTCTTGCCTTCTGGTAGCTCTGCGCATGCATGCACTAGGATCAGGCTCCTCCTGTTCCTTTGCCTCTCTGCTGTCTCTGCTCTGGGGCTCTGGAGTCTGCGCATCACTCCCAGATGGCCCTGCCCCCATCTCTGCCTCTCACGCAGAGGCCTTCCCCAGACTCCAGGACTGGCCCATGTTCCTCCCCAGCCTCCTCTCTGTCCGACTCTGCTGCCAGCTCTGCAGGCTGCTGACGGACCACAACAAATGGGTTATCCACTGAAGCAGTGATGTCCAACCATTCCAGCTCTGTGAACTGGTGATGTCGGTGCTAGGGGGGGAGAGGGGATGGTTTCACATGTGTACTTGCTGGTTGTGCAAATGGAGCTTGGCACACTTGTCTGCTCGCTTGCTGCTTGCGCTGCCCAATTCACAAAGGGCCACCCCCAATACCGGGCTGTGAACCAGGGGTGAGGAGTAAGGGATGATTGTGAAGATACAATAGTATAGCTATCACTTGTTTTTATGGGAAATTTCTGGTATAGCACTGACACACAATGTGAACCATTGTGTTTTGGTATCCATATATTATTATGTCTATAGCTATGGTTATAAGGCAAAATCATTATAAATATATCCGTAACATTAGCAGTATAATCTCATTCATTATCCAGCAAACATTTGTAACCCAGTTCAATCACAGATTCTAAAGATCTTTAGAGTTTCATTCAGGAACTTTGTGTATTTAAATGGAACAGAAAAATTTTCTGCAAACCACCAAATTAGCCCACACTTAGCCTCTGCTGTACTTGCAAGATGTGTAACTATGGACTTATTACTGCTAATTAGTTGTTAACCTTCAGATGTGCTTCTGAAGACATGCTATTATATGAACAGATAAAACCTAGACCAAATGACAACCCTTTACTCTTTCCTTTCAAAATAATACTTCCTTTCAAAAGTTAAAAAAAAAACACTGCATACATATTTTAATAAAAGAAAAGGCCTCTTTTCCAAAGATTATTGTATCAATATAGTTCATGGTGACCCTCAACCTTTTATGCTGTAATGCAACAGCAGACTTGTTAATTAAATTCAGGGGGAAATATCACACTATGGTGCACTCTGGAATTATTCTAAATTGCTAAAGTTTCACAATGGCATTTATAATATAAGATTCAAAAGTATCATATTGTAGATACTTTTTCTAATAGAACCGAACATTATTACTTTTCTACTACAGCATTGTAGGCACAAAATTGTGAAAACTGAGACGGTTCAATGAACATAAAGGACTTTAACAGCAAGCATTGGTAAGTAAAGTTAAAGGTTCCCCTCGCACATATGTGCTAGTTGTTCATGACTCTAGGGGGAGGTGCTCATCTCCATTTCAAAGATGAAGAGCCAGCACTGTCCGAAGACATCTCCATGGTCATGTGGCTGGCATAACTCAACTCCAAAGGCACACGGAATGCTGTTACCTTTCCACCCCAGGTGCTCCCTATTTTTCTACTTGCATTTTTTTACGTGCTTTCAAACTGCTAGGATGGCAGAAGCTGGGACAAGTAACGGGAGCTCACCCCATTATATGGCACTAAGGATTCGAACCGCTGAACTGCTGACTTTTCGATAGACATATGAACCACTGCCAGAATATCTGGTCTGTCCTGAAATATTAAATTTATTGTGAGTTACAGTGTACTAGAAGATCTCTTCATATAGGCATGAGCCCAGCCAGTGAGCATGAATGGAAAGAGCAAAAAGCAGAGGAACATTATTAAATTAAAATATGAAAATTTGGTTTTATTGCTTGGCTTGGGGCCACAAGGGTGATGCTCACCTCTGGATATGATTGACAGGGTAAAAAGATTTTCTTCCTGTCCCATCCATCTCCTTAGTTCTGTTTTTTTGCATAGTTTTAAATTTTTAATGTATGTAGCTTTAAAACTGCATGTTTTTCTATTTATCTTCTTATATTATATAAGCCACCCAGATATGCCCGATCAGGCAGATGGGCGGCATATAAATTTAATAGACAGACAGACAGGCAATTAGGCATGTACACATGCAATCTACTTGAAAAAGAATTGGATAGATACACTATCATATCAGTCATCTCTGCTTTTTTGACCATATCCTATAGATATCCTAATTTGGTGGCAAGAAAATTAATTTTGTTGGTATGGTTGGTATAGTTTGACAAAAGAAAAGGTACATACTTAACAGCTTTTGGAAGAATGTTATCAGTCTCTGATGACTTGGTAGAATTATTTGTCAATTGACTCTAAAATGTTCATTGCATCTTTTTCATTTCTTGTTACAGACACCTTCCCTGAAACCACTGGTATGGCTCTTTCAAAATTATTTGCAATGAAGCTTGTTCTAGGGAATAGATTTCTTGTGACTTAATCAAATCTTTGTTATCTAATGGTATCCTTGATTTCTGGTTTTGTAGATGCCCTTGAATACTTTGTTTTTCTATTATTAATTTTTCAAATCCTTTGTGGATCTTTTAAAAATATTGTTGTTGTTAGTTGCGAAGTCATGTCCGACCCATCGTGACCTCATGGACAACTTTCTTCCAGGCCTTCCTGTCCTCTCCCATCCCCCGGAGACCATTTAAACTCACTCCGACTGCTTCAGTGACTCCATCCAGCCGTCTCATTCTGTGCCCCCCCCTTGTTCTTTTGCCCTCAATGTTCCCAGAATGAGGCTCTTCTCCAGTGAGTCCTCACTAAGTGGGCAAAGTATTTCAGTTTCATCTTCATTTTTTAAATATAATAGATATTAATTTATAATTTATATTTTTAGATTATTTATTATTGGTTTCTAAATTCAGTGTGGTAACTGGAGGAATGCTGTAACAAATACACAGAATTTATTATCTGAATTATCTGAATCCCAGTTCTAAACAAAGGATAAAAAAATCCCAATGTTGGTTGTTAAAAGAAAAAGTATTTTTGCAGGACTCCTTTTAACTGTATGCTTTTAAAACAAAACTGGATTTTTTTTAAAAAAAGTATTTGGTTTGATATCATGCCTAGTTTTAGAGTTAGGCTGTCACAGAGAGCCAGGAGATAGCAGTTTTATTCCCTCCAAAGTTCAATCAACTAAAGTTTACTTTAATTTCATTAGGAAATCAATACTGCAGAGGTCATTATTTGAAGTTTTCTTATTTTTTTAGTGAATACATCTATTTTTTAGTGAATACATCTATTTAAACCTTATGCTATTCCAATATTTCTTGGAATCGCTTATTAAAAGACAGAATTATATGTACCTCAGGAGGTGACTTCTTATATCAAGAATAATACCTTTTGGTAGGATGGAAACTAGACTATGGTGCATCCAGGATTGAAAGTGAATATGATTTAAGAATTCTGCTGGATCAGTTCAAAGGCATATCTAATCCAGGAGTCTATGTTGTGTAGTGATTATTTAGATATACCAGTAAGCCCCAAGTCTGGATTGATAATGATATTCAACCCAGCTTTAAAAATTATTTTGCTCACAATTGAGAACACAGCTACTAAACCCTGGAGAATTCAGTTCTTTGGCAAGTTCCGCTTTAGAACCTTTTTAATTCATGACCATCAGAGCATCCAGTGGCAATAGAATATATAAATTAGCAGTGTATGCTTTCTGTTTTCACTAGAGGTAATCTTTGATTTATTTAGTATTTGTGTTACTGAAATAAGTGACTTAGAATTGGTTCTTGCGCTTACGACCATTACATGATCATGCAATCAAAATTCAGGGACTTGACAACTGCCATGTATTACAACAGTTTGAGCTTCCCGGAGTCATATGATCACCTTTGATGACCTTCCCAGCTGCTTTCAATAAGCAAAGTCAATGGGGAAAGCTGGATTTACTTAAGGAGCACATGATTCATTTAACAACTGTGGTGGTTCACTTAGCAATCATAGCAAGAAAAGTTGTAAAATCAGATGTGACTCACTTAGCAATGTAACAACCAACTTGCGTAGTGACAAAAATTCTAGTCTCAATTGTGGTTATAGGTTGAGGGCTATCTGTACTTGCATTTGCTTCCACTGGATGGCTTGCTTCAATTGCATTGTGTATCTATTCTAATTGGACTGTTGTACATTTCTGTACATATCCCTGCATTGTATTTTGTTTTCTTTCCAATCAATCTCTCTGAACATGGGATTACAAGCAAAGAACTTGCCCCTTACCTGCTATCTGATCCTTTTAACTGAAATGATAGGCAGTAAACCTGAGACCAGCTCCATGCACACCTTGTGCTATACTACAGGCCTACAACCCTATTACAAAAATTTGTACTCTGATAAACTGCAACACTTTATGTCAGGGATGTCAGACTTGATTTCATTGAGGGCCACATCACTTTGAGGGCTACATTGACCTCTAGGGGCTGGGTGGACATGGTGGGTGTGGCCATAGTAGGCATGGCCAGCTTGATGTCACTTGTATTGGGGGCACCTGTGGTGGCCAATTGCTAAGGCAGGACTTCCTTCAGACTTCCCTCACTCTCATTATAATCTATATTCCTTCCTTCCTTCCTTCCTTCCTTCCTTCCTTCCTTCCTTCCTTCCGTCCCCAAAAAGAACAAAGCAGAATCCTGGCCCCGACAAAACCCCTTTTATTAAACAAACAGTGAATTCCTCCCATTCACCTTCAGCAAAGTCTTTCAAAGGAGAATTTACAGTCAACAGACCTTATGTGGTTTACAGAGCTGCCAGGCCGATATCTTCAAAACTTGGCAAAGAGTGTCGGAGAGTCACAAACCAATTAGGCGAACTAATTGTCTCCTGCAAACTCCACTCACCTTTCGCTCCTCTTTTATTCCTTCTGGGAGGGGCCGTTCATCATCCACCTGTGGTCTTACTCCCAAGTCGACCCTTGTTCTTTAGCTGTTCCCTTCATCTGGCAATTCTGTGCATGCGTACATTGGGAACAGGCTCTAGCTGTTCGTCTGCCTCACTGATGTCTGACTCTATAGGCAGCTGATAACTGGCTTCTGGCCCTGGCCCCCTCTCTGCCTCCGACACAGAGCCCTCATCAGAGCCTTCCCCAGACTCCAGGACTGGCCTATGTTCCTCCCCAACCTCCTCACTGGCAGGCCACAACACCCACCTACCTTCCTTCCTTCCTTCCTTCCTTCCTTCCTTCCTTCCTTCCTTCCTTTTCTTTTTCCTTCCCTCTTCATTCTCCTTTCTTCTCCCTTCCCCTCTTTTCTTATTTTTCCTTCCTTGCTCTCTTCCCATCTTCCCATCTTCCCATCTTTTTCTTTGTCTTTCCTCTTTCCCATTCTCCTTTCTTGTCTCTTCTTGCATGCAAAGAATGCAATGCAAAAGGGGAAATATTTTAGTTTGTTTTGCTAGCCCTTTGCCAGCAAAAATGGGGCCCAGGAGGGTCGTGCATGCCCCCCCGGGCCCTGTTTTCAGTCACGACGGCCTCCTGCAACCCTTTGCCAGCAAAAACGGAGCTCTGGGGTACAGGAGACCATCAAGGCTAAAAACAGAGCTCCATTTTCGCTGGCAGAGGAACCACGGGCCGATCCTTTGCTATTTCCAGGGTGGCCCAATGGGCTAGCTCTAAACACCCCATGGGCCAGATTTGGCCTTAAGTTTGACACCCCTGCTTTACATATTTGTCAATTTGATCATACAGCAGTGGTTTTACTTGGGGAAAAAAATAACTTGTTTGTTAATTACAACAATTGTGTTAGCTGACATTCTTAAAGCCAGGAGAAGGGGTGAGGAATATTTTAAGAAAACTGAATATAAGACATTATTGTTCAATCTTGGTTCTGCAAGGCCCATGTGACATCATTTCCCAGGATTGTTTGCCAGCAAGTATTTCTTTGAGTTCTTGTAAATGATGCTTGGTCATCAATGACAGCATCAGCCACCCTGGCAACCTCTGAATTCAATTGTCCTTGATTTTCTGAAGTGTCAGCAACCTTTTCCTTTGACTTCTACCTTTGCTTTATTCATTATTCTTCAATATTATTGCTTCCAATGGACATTCTGGTTTATTTCATTGAATATTTAATTCTTTTTCTTCTTGCTGTCCAAGGTAATTTCAGTTAAATTCTCCAGCACTATAGGAAAAAGGAACACCTACTGATATACAATCTTTTTTGCAGTGGCATAGTGCAGAGTTGGACTTTGAATGGCTCAAGACCACATGAGGCTCCTACCAAAATTTCCACATTGGGAAGACTGTGCTACTAATGTGGTACCTCCTTTTTATCTTTTATTTGCAAGTGTCATCTTGAGTTCATGCTTTTTACATCATATATCCAATAATTGTAGGTGCATGTCTCTACTGAACTGGAAGATCATATTACTTGGAAGTGTGTGTATATGTGTGCAAATTTGTAAAAGAAGAAAAGAGACAATAAGGTTCTTTGCATTGCATTCTAAATAATGGGCTGATTATATTAGTAATTAACATCTTCAATAACTGCTTGGAGATTTGTGAAGGCTTGCTTGTTCCAAATTCTAAAAATCTTTTTGTATTGCAAATTCTTTAAAGAATGTTTATAGGTCTATTATTCACAATGCATCTGACACATATGTGTATTGGAATCCTTCAGTTGTTTTATTCATAATTGCAAAGATGACTAGACTGATTAATATTTTAACTGCATTGATACAAAAAAATAAAAACATGGACATCTTTTTTTGGTTATAATCCTCTTTGTATTTATTGTATCTAGACTTGCATTGTTGTCTCCTTCCCTTCCCTTCCCTTCCCTTCCCTTGTTCAGCTGCATAGTTTTTAGCTAAATGATTTTTTGCAGTGACTTTATGATCCAAAGTTCTGTTGCCTTCCCTTCCCATTGTTTCTGCTTTAGAGAACTCTTTCTTTAGACCTTCGGGTGACACTGACACCGAGTGGGTGGGTGTGGGGGTAAAGAGATTCTGTATGTTTTTAAAAATTGTTGAAAATTAAGATTGTAATGCTAATGTAAGATTTATATTGCAGATAAATGCCTGCTGTACATTGAATAAACAAAACTGCTTAAAATGTGTTTTGTTTCAAGAATGTCAACAGGTATTGGAATGCAGGGGTGAGCTTCAAAAATTTTAGCAAGGGGTTCTCTGCCCAGTTACTGGGTGGGCGTGGACATGGTGGGCATGGCCTAGTTGGTCTCCTGTACCACAGTGGACGAGGTGTTTTTGCCTTCCCCAGACTTCGGAGGCTTTCTTTGAGCCTCTAGGAGGGTGAAAATGGCCTTCCCATGCTCCAGAGGCCCTCTGGAGGCTGGAAACGGGTCTGTTTCCAGCCTCCTGAACTTCAGATAGGCCTGTTTTTCACCCTCTCCGAGCCTCCATGTGCGCCCTGCACCAAAATTGGCTGTGTGGGGACTCCTGGGAGAGGAGGAGCGGGGTGGGCAGGGCTAGCCAGGAGTGGGATTTGGGGGTTCTCCTAACTGCACAGATTCTCCCAAACCCCTGCAAACCCACAGCAGCCCATCCCTGTTGGAATGGAAGAACGAAGGGGTTTCAGATGGAATATAGCTAAATAGGGTATGCTCATGGGAATGGGACAACTCACTGCAGCTAGGTGGATGTGACTCAGTGGGCATAGTCATCTGAGTGATGCTAGGTTGACGTGGGTGAGTAGGCATGGCCAGGTCGATGCGAAGGATTAGGTGCCACCAGCTCGACGCAGATAACTTGGGGCGGCTGGACATGGTCAGATGGATGCAACCATGTGGGTATGTCTGGGTGGGGGGGTGACAGATGGGTGTGGCCAGGTTAACAAGTTGCCCTGAGCAACTGGACATGGAGCTAACTCATCACCCGAACAAAAATCACCCGGAGACATACTGGCAAACAAGAAGCAGGGAAGTGGCAAAATTTGAAAGGCAAAGGGTGGATTCCCCCCCCCTTTGGAGAAACGTTTCTTTTTTCTTTCTGCCTCCTGAGTAGAGGTCTCTATGCTACATTTGGGGGCTGTTTTACAACTTGGAGCATGTGAGGATGATGAGGTCTTGAAATAATTTCTACATTCTTCTTTTTTTTTATTTTTTTTTATTTTTAAACAAAACATAAAACATAAATCCATCTTCCATTACAATTTCAAACAGTGTGTCGGTTGGTTAAAAATCTTTTGTGCTTCATTTCCATATTCAAAATTTACTAGTTATTTAATTTCTCATATTATCAAACCAATAAACATCCTCATTTATCATTTATTTAACTATGGCTTTACTGCTTCATAAAAATTATTTTCAAATATTATATTTATAACATTCATTTCATGTTTCATATTTCATTTCCATGCTTTCTTATCTAGCCATTGATAAAATAAATCCTATATCTTATAATATTGCTTATCTTCTTGTTCTCTAATTTCAAACAATTTCTACATTTCTTTAGAGTTATAAATCCTCATGAATCTTCAAAAGCATGTCTATTTGCAGAAATTTCACTGAATCAAAGAAGGGATTCATCATTCCCCATTTGGTCAAACCCACAGAAATGGGGAAGAGGAGGGAGGAAATGAAAGAGAAGGCAGAGATAAACAGAAGGAGGGAGGGTGGATATTTTATGTTTTCAGTACAGTTCGATGGAGTTCTTGCTGTGACTCTTCCCCCCCCCCCCCGCTTTGATTTTTATTCTGGCCGGGTGATGACTTGGCTCCACGTCCAGTTGCCTGGAGCAACTTGTTCTGCACCCACCTGACTCTGCCCACCTGGTTCCCCCCACTCAGTTATACCCACGTGGTTGCGTCCACATAGCCATGCCCACCCAGCAGCCCTAAGTCAGCCGCCCCGAGTCATCTGTGTCGAGTTGGCTGTACCTAATCATTTGTGTCGCCCTGGCCACGCCTGCCCACCCATGCTGACCTGGTGGCACTCAGATGGCCACACCCACTGAGTTAAACCCACCTGGCTGCAGTGAGACATCATAGACCCCAAGCTGATAGTAGAAGCTGACTTACATTATTAGATAGTAGAAGCTGATTTACATTATGTAAGAAGCCAGGATATAAGAACAATGTTTAGGTGCCAGACAACATAAGAATAAACAAGAAATTAATTATTAGTCCCTTCATATGCGTAAACCAAAATGAATAGGTGATAAAATGGCAGGCATTGTTCCATATTGTTATTTCAATTGTTTCAACCACTGGAGTTCATTGGAAGGATTGGAAAGATATTTTTAAACTTGGAAAAGAGCATGTTTGATGTCACTAGAGACCCCAAGAACACAGGAAACTGCCTTTTAAAAAAATTATTGTTGTCTAAGACAACTGACCTAACTTCCACAGGCTGCTGTCTTCAAGATTGTTCGTACTTTGACTCCAAATTCTTCAGCTAGTATAAATATTAAACATCTGCACAGCTGTAAACAAAACAAGATAGCTTGGAAATTTCTCTTAGAAGACTGTTTTCCTATATATTATATGAAGAAATTCCTGTGTAAAATATAGTTTATTTGAGGCAAAATGCACTAAATGTCTATTGTGACAGTTTAATAGTTTAATCCTTTCCAAGATTCTGTTAATTTAGTCGTTTTCATGAGTTCAAAATTTCATCTAAATATTACAAAATCAACAGATTTTTAATTTACTGACTAATTATGCCATTGCATTCTTTCTCCATAACATTGGCTTTAGTTTTACCAGTTATTCAAATAGTATAAGTCAGCTGTTATATGGAAGCTAAACAATCTTGAGCTAATAATTGTCAAATTTGTGTATTTCTGTCTTTTATTTCCCACACAAACACACACACACACACACTCCCTGAAAAATAGCGAACAAGAAATAGGTGTCTTCTAAATGCAATGCTGTCTTCATTTTGGCTTGAAATGAATCTTACTACATTCTTAAAGAATATTTTAGAAAACCATTCTGAAAGTTAATGAAGTAAAGCTTGAATTATGAGATATATGAATTTATATTCTTTAATAATGCTGAGCTTTAAGACAGAAATCAAATGTGTATATGGAGAATCATTGTGGAAACTACCGTAGCTATAATAGAAGGATTCGTTTTTATCAGAACAGGGTATGAATAACTGTTACAAAATCAAATTATAACACAGAATTAAAATTGAAACATCATCAAAAAGAAATAATCTATTGCTAACTGAAATAAAATAATGGTAAATCACATAAATATTATGTGGAAAAGAAATCACTAGTAGAAGAGATTATACTTTGTAGTTCTGCCTAAAGACCATAATAAAGGTTTTGATCTGATTACTATAATTATAAATGGCTACTTGACAATTACACCGTGATTTAAGACCCAATATACTATTATTAAGACTCTGAAAAGCATCCCTCTTGTTCTTTTAGAACAATTTATCTTCTAAATTAGTTTGCTTCTCCCTGGCTGTTTCATTTTTGCCAACCTTTGTAAACTGGGTGTGTTTCTGAGAGGCTACCAGTAAGCACCATGGTGAACTAAAATCCTTGGTCAACAGCTGAAACTGGCATTTGGACTGAACTGTGATATTTCTGGAGAAAGGAGAGATCTCAAGATTATCCATATATATTCCAGATAGCTGCTTTTTGTGAGCAGACAGCAGGAACTGACATTTTTGCAGTTAGCTGGTGAATGGCTTGGCAATTGTGGGATTCCATCAAGCTTGTAACTGTTAATTTAGCCTATATATAGCCTCAAGGTTCAAGTGAGGCTGACCTCTTAAGGACTCAGTGGGAATTTAGCTAGTACTGTGGAGTTAATTGAAAAAATCCTTTCTATAGAAAACTGTTTATAGAATCATAGGGACTTTAGAGGTTTTCTGAAAGGGACTTTAGAGGTCTTCTAGTCTAGCCCCCTGCCCAAGACAGGACTCCTTATACCATCCTGGACAAATGGGTGTTCTTGAAAACCTCCAGCAGTGACATTCACAACTTTGTGAGGAGGCAAGCTGTTCCATTGATTAATCATTCTCACTGTTAGGATGATGAAGTTTTATAGGTTTTGTTTATCTTTAAGGGATGAGATATGGAAATAATTCATTTGTTGCATTATAGGTTTATTTGATTTAAGACTAACATAGTGTTAAAATAATGCTGTTATTTCTTGTAACTTTTATTTGATTTTAATATTTAGATTTGAATGATGATGATAAAAAGTGGGATATAAATGAAAAAGGAAGGATTTTAAGTGGGTTTATTGGATTTAGTCTAATAGATATGTTCTTATTTCTGATAATCCTTAATGAGCTTTTGCTGATTAGGACAGAATGATGAGACTTTAAACATTTGTTTATAGAGAATGGAGTAGGATACAGGAAGAAGAGATTGTGTATTGCATTCAAGAAATGGTGATAAGTTATAAATGTTATTTATATTCATACTGATGAAGGGATAGATTTCCTTCTTTATGTTTTTTTTCTGAACTTTTTTCTCTTATATTTTAAATTTTTTATTAGTTTTATTTGTATATTGTAACCTTTAATAAAATTATTTAAAAAATAATGTTAGGTAAATTTCTACCTGGAGAAATTATTTTGATTCACAAATTCATTATTACTTACTTGTCATAGAAAATAAATAATAATCTCAATTTACATACATTTTTGAAAGTAATTAATTGTGGAATATATAAAAAGTAGGAAAACTATTTTTATTTCCCCAAAAGACAATTTAGCAAGATTATAGTTTGCTATTGCCAAAAACAACTCTTTAACTTCATTGAAGTACAGTACAT